TGGAGAAAAACTGATTCTGTCTGCTCGATGTCCACTGTCTACTGAATGATTCTCGGTTTCAGAAGATCAATGCCGATTACAAAAAGAATTTGTTGAATCTCAAGAACATCTTGCTTATCAAATTCACAAAGGATCATATGGTCGTGCCAAAGGAGTCCTCGGTGAGCCTTTTCAGAGAAGCTTTTAGTTCTTGAAAGCACGTTCCGTACTGATGCGTAGGCAAGGTCACTCAGAGAAGGCCCTTTTCGCTGACAGTCCCTTTTTCTAAGGCGTATGGCGAAGAGAAAGAGCGAGGGGGGGACTGTTTGAGTGACTCAGCCCACACTACATATATGCGCGGAATGTGCCTCTTCTGGTTTTGCCCAACTTCCTCTTCTGCTTCCCAATGTATCAGAATTAATAATTGATAATTGACAACTAACAGTTATATAATAACGAAAATATTATTGTTTTTCGTCTTCAGTGGTTCGGATATTTCAAAGAAGGAGACCTAGAGACGATAGTACCGATGAACGAAACGACATTATACACAGAGGTGATCGCTGTATAATAGCAATCTGGTTGGCTAGTAGAAGCGACCTTTTAGTTAATCAGCATTTTCAGGACCGAATCGGCTTGAAAAAACTACAAGAAACGGGTCGATTGCATTTTCTCGAAGTAGAGGGCGATCATTTGAGGATCAGCACTGAAGAGTTTAAAAAGGAAGTAATTGACAAGTATTTGAAATGACGAAGTAATAAATATTCCTGGTACACATATTGAGCTCAGGGAAGGCAATCAAAGATCCCCTTGATCTGCTTGATCGCTTGAATACTCGAAAAAAATGCTTGATCGCTCGAAACCCGCATTACGGTTTCATACAGCCTTGGGAAGCTGGGACGAGAGGGTAGAGTGGCTTCGCAGCCGTCAAACCGTTTTCCCCAAATGTCGTTGCTTGTCAGCTTCTACAATTGCTAGACAGCGGGTTGGCGCAGTCTGCCAACCCTAGCCCGTCCATGAAACGATCCCAGCATCCGCTAATTGCTTCTGAAACCGCCGCTGCTGAGGGCTCTACTGCCCAAATAAGTATGTTGTAAAGAGCTACGGCGTGAAAATATTTCAGTCGAGATGGGCGTGAGTCAGACATGAATCATAGCTACAGAGAAGGATTGCCTGTATTTATACATTCTCGATAACTACTCATCGCGAATGGCAGAGGTAAACAGCAGTAATCATAACAAACAGCTCGTTCGAGTGAGACACTGATAAGAGGTGGCAATGGGTTTTCAATAAATTTATTAGATTCAAACTGTGACGTACGGTGCAGACGAGAAGCCGATCTGCGTTTGGTGAGCCAACCACCTGAAAGCAACTTATTAAATTAGATTCAGTCTACACTGGGCCTTCGTCAGAGCTACACCTCTTCTTCCTTTTAGGAGAAGAAGTGTCCAATCTAGACGGTCGTACAGCGCCAAAGATCTCCTCTTAACTCACCTGAACTCCAAGTGGGAGGCCGTTGCTGTCCAATCCTGTAGGGCACTGTATTACGGGAAGAGCGAGGGCGTTGAATAGACCCGTATAGGCGAGGTTGAACGGCGTCAAGACAGTTTGATGATGGAAAGGTGCCGTCTGCGGCCACCTTGAAGTAAATCGATTGAAAATGGAATCGACTTTGATTCAAAGGCTTGGCATAAATAGTGCTTTTTCCGGTAGTTGATCAGTTTCATCCACGAACTTCCAACACTACTGCAATACTGCAGAATATGGGTTCAGCATTCGGTCTCATACGGGACCTAGACCTCCACTCATGTACTCTTTTCAAGTACCGTCTCCATTGGTTACACTACTCAGAGCCATTTACCTTTCTCTCAACTTCTAATATTTGGGTGTCTCATACGTCTCCTAATTTTTTGAGTCAAGTAATTCTCTTGTTACTTCTTGAAAAGACCTACCCAAAGCGACATAATCCGGTAACCATAATGATTTTTCAGACACGTCCCAAAGACAGTGTAACCAGGGCGGCAACCATTTCTTTCCGCCAGCCTCTTCCTTGAAGTCAGCTCTGTTTCGGGACTGTTTCTCCCCAGAGTGATGTTGATGGGGTCCTCAGACATGAGAAGTGCATGGGTTTGAGTCAGACTGTGGAGGACAAGAAAGAGCTTCAAATGCCAATCTCTGCGAGGCATCCTAGAACTCCTCAGCTCAGGTAGCCTAACCTTACAGTAGAAGGGGGGGGGGCGTTTCCGTGTTTCTAGAGCACGCCGACGTAGGGGAACCCACAACTTTTTTCAGTTTGTTAACAATCAGATGATCAGGTGTTAACAGATCATCACATTGTGCTCCCTCTCGTAGACCACACTGAAGATGTTACCCTAAAATTGAATTTCACTTGCAGATGCCTTTTAGTGGAATACCGCTTCTATGCAACCAATGCAGTTCGCAAAAAGAATCCATAGCCATCAGCTTACGGTGTGTACCGGCTGTCTAGGGTCCACCGTGGCACTTGGTCAGGCTCGGATAGTCGCTCATTTCATCTGAAAGCGAGCATTTCGCGAGTGCTCGCTCTCAGATGAAATGAACAACCCTCCACTAGCTGCCAGCGCCATAAATCCATCATAGAACTACTACTATCAAGAACTGATTGGCGACGACACCCCTCCGCTCACCGACAGTCTTTTTCTTTTTTCCGGAGAGGGGGAGGGGAGCCTTAAGAAGCTCCTGAAAAATTGGAAAAAAACGTAAAGGGTCGGAAAAACATGGGAAGATGACAAGTAGAATAGGAAAAGGGAGTCGTGCTAAACGAAGATCCTCAGTAAGATATAAAAGAGTTAGGTCGTGCCAAACGAAGAAATTGCATGGGGAAGGCGCCGCTAAACCGCCATTTCACACATACCTGATCCGTTGCCCTGGTCAGGAAGGCATAAGTTTAGGAGTTCAGTTGAAAGCCGAATGTTTGTCGTTATTGTACGATTGTTGCCGTTTGCTTATTTTGAATATTTCCTTCATTGAAATAAAAATTTCATGTGGAGTCCATTAATAGATCAAAAGTTATTTTTCATGGGTAACTTTCAATCGCAGAGTGAAAGAAACTCACGAAGGGAACAGAAGAATTCCATCGTTTCCAAGAAGCTCAGTGACTTGCCGAATTAGACGATCACGAAGTCGTAGGAACTGTAACAATCAATAGTCAATCCGCAAAAATGCTCCTGATCCTTGCTGTTACTATTTGTTGCTCTAATTGGGAGGGGGAAGTCAAACAAAGGGCAGGGTACCCAGGGTTGCACCAGCTTACCCTCTAGGATATAAACGCAAGGAAAGGGAGAGGGCAGGGGACCCGTACAGAGAAATCGTTCTGTGTGTGCTTTTTTGACTGCCCCAACAACTGCACGACTTTTCTGACTCATGTCTGAGTCCGCCAGTTGTATGTTGCCATTATCCTCCACCATTTTACCAAGTGGGCAGGCTCAGCGATAGTAGACATGGTCCCAGTCGCGAATGAGTTATACGGACGTTGTAACTGGTGGCTCAACAGTTATCCCACTCTTGTCAAGATTGATGTATACGTGCTAGGGTGGTGACATACCTCTGCTTTATCCTCCGCCGACATCCTGTCCAGGTCATCGAACATACAAGTAAATAACGCTCCTGGTGTGTGAACAGATTTTCCCATGAAGAACTTCGGGATTTCAACTTTCCAATTCAACCGACCCTTGTTGCCCTGAAAGTTGTCGATGTTGCCGTCCTTGAACCCCTCAGTTGTACCTCAATTCAACTGTACTGACAAGCTTACAATCATAAAAGTATACCATGTGGCAACCCACTGACGAGAATTCTCACCTCACTGCAGAAGATTAAAGTAACAGCACGAAAAATATGCAAACTGTGAATTAGAGAAATATATTTACAGAACCGGTAATGACGAACCTCCAAGCTCACGAGATAATCGCCGATTCTTGGCTCCCCTTCTGTATCCAAACTGGAGAGAAGAATCTCAACTGCTTTTGCGACGAGTGGCAGGTCCACTCGAATCGCCTCTACGTTGAATTTTGATTCGAAGTGGCTCACTGCCTGAACACCAACGTATTAGTCGTGACTACCAGAGAGGTATAGTTGATACCGTTGCAATCAGTCGGGGCGGTGCCAGGAGGGGCGGAATCACCCTGGCTTTGACTTCCTTTCTCTACCAATAAGGATCACTTATTGATGGACTGATTAAGGAAACAATCAGTGGTGAAAACGCTGCTGATGGGCTCATTCCAACGCGACACCGCCCTGGCTGACTGCGAGGATAGAGTGGAACTAAAGGAACTGTAGCAGTGGCACTGGCTTCCCTCTAAATGGCATACAGTAGTATGAGAATCCACATAGCGCCGTGGCTGGTGGACTCATAAGGAGCCCCTGTCATGCTAGTCCCTCTTTGTCAAGCCATACAGGCAATATTTCCCCTCATTTCAGACCAGTTCCCGGGTTGGGTTCGTTTACACGGGAAGTACATAGTGGAGCCGACACAGGCTATTTCCACAAACTATCTATGGACTCATTTCGCTATTGGAAGAGCTCTCTTCATTTCCGTTTGGATGAAAGTCGAACGCTTGCTGTATTCCATAGGGACAGCGATGGGAATATTGGATTCGAAGAGTTTCAACATGCATTTCCAAATATCCGCGTATTTGAAGTGTCTGCATCTCTCTTGAAACAAATAAAGTATTCGCAGGCTTTTCCTCTCCAATAAGTAGAATAGCATAAGGCATACAGCGTTGGACAATCCCTTTTTGAAGCCACGCATTCAACTTCCTTTCAAATTCGTAGTGGCATGCTGTGAGCCTCCTCATACAAGAATTTAAGACAGAGAATGTGCAGTTCCAAGCTCTGTCACCCCCAATGAGTCAACATCACGGCAACATTACGAGGACGTGAGCTTGGTTTTGGTAATGCAACTGGGGGCGTCATCTAACAGAGACGTGGGAAGGGACGCCACATGCCACTACCTCTTGCTCACCTCACCAGACCATCTGTAACTAGCTTGTACTTTAAGTTTGATGTTTGTACCTTGAGTAAGGCAGACTTCATTTCGCAGCTAAGTGATTGAATAGTTGGAATCTGAATGCCTTCCATATAGTAGAAACGGGCTTTGTTGAAGTCCACCGGATCAGAGAGTCGTAGCTCAGGAACCTTCTCACCGCCCATCACCTGAAAGCATCCACATGAATCAATATACTGGTTTTAGCAAAAAGTCCTGCGACACTTTGAGCAAAGTTTCAGAATGAACACCTTTGGTCAATTAATAAAGTAACCTCCATTAGTATCTGGGACTCGTGCTACTCCGATGCGCACTTTTAGAAATGCGACGACAGCGATGAGAAAAAGCGGCTGGTCTCGCTTTCGAGTCGATTCGCTCCCATTTTCGATATACAGAACGTATACACTCTGGTGCAGGGGTGGTTGCAGCTAAACACCCCGACGAATGATTTCTTGACGCGCCATCTTCACCACGTGCGAGTGCGCGTTGTCATGTAGCAGGGAGGTGTGGGCCTTTGTGGAGGAGTTCAAATGCGACGTCGACCATCTTTCAAGTCCATCAGAGCGGAATGGCGGCAAGAGCTGCACCAGTTCTCTGCAGCATCGCATCCCATTACTAAGAAAATCGAAATTTT